TAACGCCCCCACGGCTGAAAGGGCGAGCATGTTTGGTGGGACGGGGATAAAAATCAAAGTAACTCACTAAGTAATTTTGCATTTGTTTAAGTCATTTTAAAATAGGCTCAGCATAGCCGGGTGGTTAGGGCGCTCGACTCGAAATCTGTTGGTCGCGAGTTCGAATCCCCGCGAAATTCAAGACAAACAAAAACACTTTAAAATAGTTATATGTCTTGAAGTTTTTTGGTAACGATCCTCTGATTTGTTGAACATAAATACACATTACGTTTTTTTTTCTTGTTATGTTATTTGCCTACTATCATCTTATGTATTTTTTTTAAATATTATTCCAATAGTACTTATCTTAACATTGTGTTTTCACTTCTAAATCAGCTGCTACATACTACTGATAATTTTTAACTTTAAAAATCATTAGAAGATGTTAGAATTTATACAAAGATTGTTGAATATTTGTGATATCTTGCAATGATTTTTGTGTAGTTCGTCTGGAGATTAACAGAACGTGGTCTGTTAGCAAAAGGTTATCCGGTATACTTTCACTACCTATTTTATGGCCTACCTTGGTCAGTCCGGCGGATAGATGCGATCTATCAACGATCTACAGACTATCATATTATACTTTTTTCAGGTAAGTTTAAAACAGCCTGGAATTAAAAGACGTCTATACATGATAAACAGTTATTCTGTCTGGCTGTTGGAAAATAAAACTTTAACTGTATCTGTATGATATTTCATTTTATATTTAATAACCCTGTACGGTAGCAATATCATTAAGCTACATTGGTTAATTTCAAAAATATAGGTATAAAATTTCACATCAATGAATATAGCCTAATACAGAATTTAAGAACTGAAAGCATTATGACTTTGTTCTATTAAGTTGCTTTAGTCATAGCAACACAATATTTTGATATCATATTAGCTTTTAGTAGCTGCTTAATATATTAACAAGGAACTGCACTTCCAATGTCATCAAATCTGTTTCAGAAGTTGTAAAAGCACATTAGATATAGTAAGGTATAAATGTGAATTTAAAACCTAATACAAATCAGAAAGCAGCAAAAGAAATATAAAAACTAAATCATTTAGCAATTTATAACAACTCTTGTTTTATTGGCAGTTACCTAGATAACGTTTTTTTTTCACCATCGTTAACATAAACCAAAAATAGTTACGAACAAGAAAAATGTGGATATTTTAATCAAATGCAGAATTACATGTACGTTCTGTGGGACGTACAAGCCTATTGACATGGAAAAATGTCTTGCCACATTTAATAAATTTTTTGTTCAAAATAATGAAATTGTTTTCGAGATAAGGTATCTTATTGACTAAAATATACAACCGACAAGCAAAATCTCGAGTTCAATTCCTTCAAATCTCAGTTCTCACATTTTCAGAAACAGTTCTGTATTTGTTCTGTTTTTTACCTGAAGATGTCATTTGTATTACCTTTGGTTAAACAGACATTTCGCTTTTGTTAGAAATACCATTATCTATCTTCCTCACTCTTTAGTCTTCCGCTGGGACAGCGGTAAGACTTTGGATTTACACTGCTAAAATGAGGGATTCGATTCCCCTCGGTGGACATAGCAGATAGCCCGATGTGGCTTTGCTATAACACCCCCTCCCCTCCCCAAGTCTTCATCATAACTAGGATTACAATGGGTGATTGTAGTTAATCTGCCTGAGCATAAAAGGAATTGATTTTTTTTTCTTTTTCGATGAAAGTCCATTAACTTTGGTCATTACAAAAGAAAGGAATGAATTCGAGTCTAGACAATTAAAGACATTTCGAAACCTAACAACTGGGCTTATTTTATCCTAAAATTTTAAGACATGTTTTCAAAGTGCTTCTCAATTAACATTCAAATATTTTTTATTATATTTAATTATATTATTATGTTTAGTTGTATTATATTTAGCCACTTTATCTTGTAACAATGAGGGTTAATTGCACTTTGTGAGGGCGTATTTCATATAATACTGCAGTGACACCACAGGCAACGTATTTAAGATTTGTTTTGAAAAGAATATTCATAGAGCGAGATATTTCCAATGTAACCGGTGGAAGTGGAAATATTTACATTTAGGATAGGAATGGGCTCCAAAACGACATGTTTCGACCCCATAAAAATTATAACAAAGCTGCTCAAGC